GCACAGTGAAAGGACCATTCATAACACTGCCGGTGGACAGCAAAGATGTTGGGCAGAAAACAAAAGGAAAAGTATGCTGGAGGTACAGAGGTTCCCTTGTCATGTCACAGCAGGCTAAGTGTGAAAAAAGGAAAGAAAAGGAACTATTGCATGAAACTAAGCAGCCAGCATAATTGCAAAATAACAGTCTGATATTGCTAGGATGTCTGCTTTAAAATACGGTATTAGCAGACAACACTGCCTTTTCATGACTCAGTACAATCTCCTGATTAGGTACATCATAATGCAAAGCTGATTAGGACAGTATTAGTATGTGGTAATTTATTACATGTTTAGTAATTTCTTGGTCCCCATTAGTTTTAATGAGGATAACGCTGTTTCCTTCCACTGAGAGTCTGACAAACTTTCAGCATGAATGAGATGTACATATGGTCATACTGGTATTTTTTGTTGAAATACTCTATCTAACAAGCTTTTTGTCACATACCAGATCTCATTTTTACTTGTACATAACAAAAATTAGTGTAGTGAATTCTGAAATACACTTCACTGAACCCCACACTGTAAATGAGAGAGACCATGAGGGGACAGAAAACAGTCTTTCTTTCTACTGGTAATTTTATAATTGTGTTATCCTGTATATGCCAAACATTTAAGCTATTTTAACAATATGACAACAGAATAATGCATAAGTTTTGAGAAAATTAGTCAAATATACCAGCTTTTGATACCTTACTCCAGTTTCTGAACTAAAGCCATGGAACAGTCCCAACATGTCTAAAAATCTCACTGTAAGATTACTGATTCGGTAAACACTATAGGAAAAAAGCATGAAACCAGTAGGCGATTAAAAAGAAAACATAAGGAAAAATATTTTAGATCACATAATGACATACCTTATGGCAGCAAAATATTACTTTACAAAACAAAGTTACTGAGCATGGGAGGTCATTCCCTATAAAGACAACTTTAATCACATTGTGGCCAAATGATGCTTAGCTGTAATCAACCAAAAAAAAAAAAAAGTCAATTTACTCAGTTTATTTCAAATATAACTGAAAGTTTCTCAAAGTGCATCAGTAACAGCCCAAGAGTTTTATTCTAAATGTCTAAACTTTGTGGTTTGTTGTTTTTTTTTTTAATAACTGTTAGCAAACTTCTTGGCAATTAACTGTGTTGAACCCTGGCTGTTGTCTTGTTTGGACTAACACAAAGTTATTTACTGAAACAAAACCTTCTCTTCAAGTCTCTGCCTGTTTTAGTCTCATGGTTAAAAAAAAAAAAGTTGTTGAAATCTAAATATTTGAGTATTATTAGATTAGGCTTAGGAACTAACAACATCTGCTAAAAGAGAATGCATTACTCATTTAAGTTACTAGAAAAATGTATACTGGTACTTTGCCAAACTAATTTTATCTGAATTTGGAGAAAAAAAAAATGTGATTGCCCTAAAATTTTTATAGGATAGTGACTGAATACTACTCAAGAGCAACAGGATATTTCAGCAGCCTGCTGGAAAATACATAAATGAACATACTGCAGTTCTGCTTTTTTGGATTTGCCTTTTGCAATACTCGAAATCAAACTATAGTGAAGCACAGTCAACTGCACCCTGAAAATGATTCTTAACTCTGCGTCTTGGAGTCCATCTTCAACTTCTCTCATTTCACTGTAAGGCAACTTAGAATGATGTTAACTGCAATGATACTGTATCACCAAATGCTTTACTGTATGAAGTCGTGAAGAAACAGATGAATCTCAGGTGGATCTAACAAAGGAACAGACCCAGTGCCCTAGGGATCCTAACACCTCACCAAAGGACGAGAGTAACTCAGCAGCAATTCATATCCTATGATGGAGAAACAAGATGAGGTAAATGAGAGGATCTCATTGCAGAGGAGACTCATTCTGAGCTAAGATTGCATGAACCTGGATATCCATTTGTGAAATGATGTGAATAAAGAGTGAATGTAGAATCAAGTGCATTGGAAGGCAAGTCATGACTGGATCTATTTGAAGATGTGAGGAAGTGAAGAAACTGTGTAAGAACAGGCTGTATGTAAGTATTATGACATTCCCATAAAAACGGGAAAAAATGTTCAGCACTAAGAGTTTTCAAATACATACTTGTGCCAAAAAATAAATGTATTTTTAAATATCCTTTCTGAGTCTATGTGTATTTTTTTCCCATCACCTAGACGAAAACAGTGAATAGATACTTAAATTTTATGTGTCATAATATTAAAGAACCTACTGAATCTACATGATACATTAGCTCATTGTTTAGTTCTCAGAAATGGAGTCTTGATCATGACAATGCTGCATAAGTAATATGAATCTTTGATAAAAGCCTACACACTGAAATCTTCAGCAAATGATCTAAACAATACATGTATCGAGAAGAAATCACTTGGAATTTACTTGGAAATGTGACCCATTTTATTTTAACTGAAAAGCATTCATTATACAGTGCAAACAGTTCTTTGGTAAATTTACTGATTAAAATAAAAACAACAAAGACTTTGTTTTAGGTAATGTTAAAAAAGAAAATAAATATGTAAAATTTGCAACATATTACAGCAATATTCTCACAGTGGATACTGAGGAAATGGTCATCTAGCCATTGGCCACTGTTTCAGAAATGTTAAAATCAATGCTGATTCTGCAGACACTGCAATAATACTGAATTAGTACAACCCATGACTGATTACATTTTAAACTGTGGATAAAGACCTGTTTTTCCTGAATGGTTTATAATCAGATGGATGGTGGAAAATAACTCAATATTACACTCGTTTAAGCATATCCAGACTCCTAAGCCCATTTTATATACCATATGAATAAACAGTGAACAACAAAGAAAACCTCCCACTTTACTCTGGAGGCTGGAGAAAAGGAACAATCAGAAAAAAGGTACTATTTTATAATGTATAAATGGAAACTCTCTTCTCCTATAAGCGGAAATCTTGAGAAAGTTTATTTAATATAAGATTTGGAATAAAAGAATGCAAGTAGTAACCAGCTGGATGTATTACTGCCTTATTTAACTGTTTAGACAGTTAAATTATATTTGGTTTAGCTCTGCAATCCTTTCTCTTTGAGGAATTCCTGCTATAGGTCAATGGGAGTTCCATCTGAGTTGTAATTACAGGACGAGACGTGTGGTTTGGACTCTCAACAAAAGTCAACAAAATACCAGAGTATCAAAGAAATACAGAAATGACAGCCTCTAGGAACCATATGATACTCAAACATGCTTGCCACACACAATTTCTAAAGTATTAACATAGAAAATTACATAAATCAAAACATTGTATATAAAATCAATTAAAATATTCTTAAAAATATAAATTGTAGTTCCATGTGTACCTCTACCACACACCTTTAACACACCACTCACATGTACATATTGCTCCTACCATAGCATGAAACAAGTTTCTGTAGTAAGCTTTAAAGATACACCAAAGTTTGAATGTCTGTCACGGTATCAGTTTATCAAATTACAAATTATTAATGTTAGTAATCAGAGAAATTATGTGCCAAAATGTTATAGTGGAACTCATATTGCTGTGCTAGGTTAGTAATTAGACAGGTATTTGATCTACCATGCAATAATTAAGTATTCAGTCTGTTTGCATAATCCGACATGTTTGAGATAAGAATGTTTAATTTTGTGCAGATTTTTTTGATACCCAAATCTCTGTTCCCTAAATTTGAACAATAAACTCAGAAGTCAGTGAACTATATAACTAAAGAAGAGTTCTGGTTCTAGTTAGTCCTGACTTAGGACTTAAGGACAGAGCCATAAATTCTAACATATTAAGTATTCAGGGAGAGAATCAATTCTGAATAAACACAAAAAAGCTGTAAAATGAGGTATGATAGTTGTCCTTCACTGAATATAATATATAATTCCTGGTCAAAAATATGCAGTTTGTATTCTAAAAAGTACACAACTTTGAAATGCTAGAGTAGACATATACTCTATAACGTTAAACATTTATTAAATGGGAAATAAAGTCCATTGGCAGACTATTTTTAACATGAATGATAAAAATATTGAGGTAAAAATATATATGCATTAGATGAAACTGGAAAAAAACCTAAAAAATCAAATAACTTGTCAGAAAAAGTAGTCAATCCACAATTAATCATGATGCTTGATTTTGATTGTTCTTTTTTTCAACAAACAGTGCCACAATATTATCAGGAACATATGTCTATTGACAATATGCACAATGAATCAGTAGGTATCTTTGTATACAAAATGGCATGTGACTTCTTTTCACATTTTCATAACAGGGCCATACAAATACATGAGCTGATCTGAGATCAAGAGAAGCATGCTTTAAAACTGGACTGGATGGTCATGTTACAATGATTTAAAATAAATGAAACAAAAAAAAAGTCGCCAAGCAATTACATACATTTTGACAAAAAGGATTATGTTCATTTTAAGATTAATTGCTACTCTGTTATGTACGTTTTCGTAGAATGAGGAACACTGTCAATTACATCTGTAATATACATTCAGTTGCTTTTTGTATCTTCCGATTACATTTATTTATATTTCCTTACTAATTCTAGCTTTTTCAGTCTGAAAATTTTGATTAATTTTGCTCCTTGAATTAATGAAATCATGTTGAAATGTGTCATGTAGTTTTCTTTATTTCCTTGCTGGTCCAGATGCAGAAATGATAGTGTGATTCAAGAAAATTTCCACACATAGGTGGATTTGCAGAAACTGTCCCTCTATGGCATTGCTTTGGGCACAGTGACCTTGTGTTTTCCTTTTCCCTGCATTTACTAAATAATAATAAAGAGCTAAATATCAAGTCAGACTGGTACTGAAAAGGGATAGTAAACTTTTAATGTTGATAATTAAAGATAGGAAACAAAGTGTTAATTTTAGAGTAAGTCTTAAGCCCAGTCCTTTTGGGTACCTAAAACTACCTGACAGTGTTCTTTTAAAGTAGCACCAGTTTGAGTTTGTCTAACCTGAGAAGTTTAACACACAATTAACTTTGACCTGTTTGCTAATTTCCCTTTCGTTAATTTTTGCATTGTGATTACCTTCATGGGCAGAAAATAAAATGATACATTATGTTATACTGTTACAGCACCATTAGAATGTTGTAAATCTTGATTTATTGCTGTTGTTAAGACTGTAGTTACCTGTTTGTGCCATCAGCAGGCATTGATATGATTTGAGGAGTATGCACCCTAAATTCTTAAAAAGCAGACTTATGGCTTCTTTTTATTAATATTTTGTTTTAAGCAGACTGGACAGCAATCTCCTTTAACCTTCACAGGCGCTTCGCAGTCAGCTGGCAGGCATGATTCTACAAAACAGGTAATCTGACCAACCTGTGTCAGGGAAAAAAGTAACAAAACCAGAACATACTTAGCTACATTTTCCAAACAAGAAATACATTGTTCACACTGTTGAAGAACATATTCTCCTTCATCCTCTGTAAGATCTTGGCTACTAAGATTAACTCCACATAGTTTATTTCAGCATAAACTGATACCGAGAAGGCTCTTTGTATTATACCATCTTTAATGGAGCAGTATACCATTTTATCTAACGTTCAGGTATGAAACTCTGGGATACCAAGTACTGACATATTTATTTAACTACCTTTTTTAAAATTTCACCATGATAAAACAAAAATCTAGCACTAAGTTAGATGAGCTTTTATTGATTTTTATGCATTTTCAAGAAGTCTCTGACTTGGCAGTTAATTTTGCCAGTACAACTATACATCATTGAAAATGGAAATATAATAAAAGCATATAAAGGCTGGACTGAAAACTGCTGTCAAGGGCAGGGAGAGCTGAGCAATACAATTTTTTGCACCACATAACTGAAGATCCATAAAATAACAATTAGTAACTGTTACCCAGAAATTAGCAGGCACAAAACTGGAACTGCTGTTTTTGAAGCAGAACATAATATAATTTCTGTCTCAAAATGGATTTCCACGTACTTACTTTGCATTCACACACAGTACAAGGGTCCCTTTTCCAGGTTTCATTGCTGGAATATGATTTACCCTTTTCATCAGTGCAATCAGTTTTACTGAGGCGTGATTCAAGTTTTTTTATCTGAAAACATTAAAAAAAGTTAAGAACTGAACCAAAGAAAGATTTTTATTTGTGCAAGTTATTCTGTCTTTCCTCTTGTGCTACATAATTCATGATAAATACTTGTCTGGGTTTTTCTTCTCAGTAGGTAGTTTTCATAATGCTAAAAGATTGGAAACAGGTAATACTTGTGGAAACAGCCTTTCAAAAGGAAACTAGCAGAAGATACGTATCTCTTACCATTGGACTACACAACTGGAGCATACAAAGAGAAGCAAACTACGTGACATATATGGAAAGACAAATCTAAACTTTCAAAAATAGGTGAAATAAAAAAGATTAAATAAAAAAATAATTAAAAATGTTTGCTTGGATTTTTGACTATCTATTTTTTCCTTAATGATGAAAAAAAGGGGTTATATGATTAGTTTATCTTGCTGATTGTGTGCTTCTAGGGAACAGTAATTAGGAAGGCACATTTTTTCACAATCCGTCTGTCTTTTTTACATCCAAAAAAGACAGAAGAGCTGACTGAAATGTAATAAGTCTTAACTTAACACAGCATTTCCACTGTCAAAATGGGAGCATTGAAGAGGAGTACAACAATAATTAGGTAATACCATCAAAGATGGAATCAAGTTACTATGCAAATAAATATATGATTTCTATCTATAAATTACACGGAAAAGCTGCTCTGGAGGAACTTAATTATTCTAGGCAAACATTTTGGTCTACTTTGGATTTGTCTGTTCCCTATGGTATATATTTTTTAAAATTACTTCCAGTATGACTGAGTTACTTTGAATAAAGAGTTTATTTATGCCACATCGTAAAAGCCTTCTCTAAGTGATCTAGATCTTAACTGTGTTTACAGATGTAGTCTGGCATATTACTTCTTACGAAGTCTACATTTTAATCCTAGTTTTACATAGATACTATACACTTCAGATAGGAAAAAAGATTCTAACTCCACAGACAAATTTTTAGAGAAAGACTAATCCTATGTTTAGTATACAATGGTTACACAAGGCTTCAGGTTCAAAAGTCAAGTGGGTCTAATTGTAGAATATTTCAGTATTATTTCAAAAGAACATATAAATAAAGAATAATAACACACCATGTTCTGTGTTGTGTTTTGTTTGAGATACTATGTGGTGGTTTTTGGCTGCAGTGGATGTCTAAATACTAAAAACATAAGAGGAGTGATGTTAGGAAAACATTATAAATTAAATCTACAACTAGAAACTATCCATTATAGCACCATACCTGGTTTCTGAGGCTTGAAATAGTTTTTTGCATTTCCAAAACAAATTCTTTGAAGTCATTCACTGCGGGCATGTTTGTATTATTTTCATTAGATGCTGATGTGCCATTACGAAAATATTTACTCTGTTTCACAGAACTGCAACAAAAGAATGCCAAGTCAGGGTATTCATCTAACACATTTTTATTTGGCCAGATATTTTAGAACAATTAGCAAAAATGTAAAAGAGGAGCAACCAACAAACGTAGAAGTGTATGAACCACAACAGCACACAAGACCCACTGGTGCTGAAGACAGCCTCAGGTCAGGTGAGCTGTGGATTACTGTTAACATCACAAGGGAATAATGTACGTATTTCATGCAGGGGGACACACAAAGTTGTCATCAGTGACACTGTAGAGCATCACCTTAAATTCACTGGGAAATCTCGAGCCTCCAGTATGAAAGCAGACAAAAATGAGAGTCTTAAAAAATGTTACGCCCAAACATGAAATTAACGTTTCACATTCAGATTCATAGTTTCTCCCTCTATGTTCATTAGCAAAACATGTTATTTATAGAAATATGACTTTAAAAAAGTTGGGTTTCACAAATAAATGAGAAGTACTTTTAGATATGAACGTATTCCTGTGTCTCATTTTAACTAACATTTGAAATCAATACTGATTATCATACACAAAATCTAGTGTCTTTTTGTCTATAGCACTTTCCAGCTGATATCTGGTAAAAGATGTACAATACTAAATTGTGTTAATCAATTCAATCTGTTGATGGGAAACAGTTATCAAAGGAACTGTGCATAACTAATAATATATTATTTGGCGCCACTTAAAAAACATGTATTCAAACTCAAGGATAACACTAATTATTAGGTCACTAATTAGATTAAGATCCTTGAATCCATACAAGCATTCCTATTTTGTTAGCGTGTCTTCTCCAGAGCCAAGGGATACCCAAAGAACAAACTGGCAAAGAAATCCTCTCTAATATAATAGGGCTCACGATTTATAATCTTTCTGCATAAATTAAAACAGCACTTATTGGCAGGTGTTCAAGCTACTTAGTTTCCCATAGTTTTTCATCTAAATTAAAGAAAAAGAACTCTAAACAACATAACATGCCAAAATTCAAGTAAACCAGCTGCCGTTGTATAACAAAAAGTTTAATCTTCCCCACCTGCTCAAGTTATTGAAAATGAGAAAGAAAAAAAAGGAGGGAAAAATCTTCTAACCACAAATACAATTTAAATACAACAATGAGCATGAGAACTGATGAGAATGTTAAAGGACTGAGGTTGCTTTAACTTATTTATGCTATAAATAAAGTATTGTAAATTTACTATTTTGCAGTCCTAGTTAGTAATTGGACTGTTGTAGATTTTTGAGACTCATTTCTGAAACACAGTCAAACAGCAAGTTAATGAAAACAAGCTGCTTCTCAGATATAAGCATTCATTTTTTCTTGCTTTAATTTTTATTTACTTTAACCCTTCTACAGTTTTAGAATTATGGCACTAGCATCTTTAAAAAGTGAATTGCTGTTTTATAAATTTAAAAACTTCTAACAGTTCACTTGCAAAAACAGACAAAGCATCCTTCTTCGAGGATTACTTCAAAGGAACCTTTCTTTTTCTATGGTCTATAAGTAAGCTTATATTTAGCTGCTGTCTTCTCTTGTCTAAAATCCTAAACACCTGAATGGTCTGTTACTTCAGGACAGCTTCCTATCAATTAAGTGAAATATAATGGTGGTGTTTCTGCAGTGCTATAACATCTGCATGAGTATTGGAAACTGCTGAAATAAATTTACCTGTCTACATATCTGTCTAGCTCCTTTCCTTGCCAGAGTGGGTAGACTGACTGGTCATCTCAGTCAACTAGATAATTTTATTTGCGAAAAGAGTACATGCTATAATTCAAAAGAGCCTCAAATTTGCTCATCATGAAGGATCTTCACAAGAAATTTTTGTTCTGAGCAGAACTCATTTCATTTCACTAATTCATAGGTAAGTTTTGATTCCCTGGAAATTGCAGGGACCCTGTGCAGTTGATCATTTGTGACTGACATTGTGATTTACTTCCTTGCTAGAGTATTTTGAGGATTAGGGAGTTATAAACAACATTAGCTGTAGCACTCCTGCTCTGACTATTTTGGTACTAGAAGCAATCTGTATGATTATCAGATTTTTATGCTAGTGCTATCAACACTTGGTTTTCTCCTATTTCTACAGGAGGACCTAGCAGCTCCAAGGAGGAAAAGAAATAATTTAGTTTGGTTACTGCAGGCACAGTAGGAATGTGGGATTCCAAATCCCCCAAATTATGCTTCATTACTGAGTTTTTTCATGAAAAGCACAGGAAGAACAAAAGCACTATACTGTGTCACTCACAAAGGGTCTTACATAAATTTGAGCTTGAAAGAAAAGTGGTTTACTCTTAGCAGATATGCAGAAGTGTCAGAATGAAATACATCAATCATAAACTTGAGAAAGCACACTGGAAAAAGTGGTATGCACTTACAAAGAAATCATTCAGTTTCATTCCATTTTGAAAACAAATGTTTTTTCACACTTTAAAAAGAAAAAAAAAAATCTCACCTTACTGTTCTGGACATTTTCATTTTCTTCAAGGGCTTGTCCTCCTGAAAGCTGTAATCAAGAGACCGTCTTCCCCGGAAGTGATATGAAAATGCATTAAACTGTCCTCTAGTTCTACAGTCTGAAATTAGACAAGAAATTACACATTATAAACTACAGCATAATTCAGCAGCTATAATATTAATATGGTTTTACAGTATCTTCTGCATTGGCAAAGGCAATTCATACATTCAGTCTGATCCCTCTGGAATCAGTCTGATGGCAGCTGAATATGTCTCAGCAACACAGCATTTAAGCCAGCTGGATGCAGAGAATTTGATTATTCACAGACCAGCTTTTTGGTATGAAACAAAGGAATAAAGATTATTTTCACAAATATATCAGTGCTACTTTAACTATTCTTTTCACTTCTGAAATTTCCATTCTCTTGGCTTTTAATTATTTTCTACTTTTGGAATGGGGTAGTTAATTATGGAGGAAAACAATGATAGAAAAAACAGCCTCTTGCTTCCTCATCTATTCCAAGCATTATTATTTGTTATTTTTGAAAGAGAATCTTTAATTAAATCCTGGAGAACATCTGCAGACACACTTCACTGGTTGACCAGCCCTACTTCCAAATCTGAGGGATTTGAAGTTATCATCAGTAACTTAGACCCTAAGACCCCACCGTAGAGCGAAAATCTCAAGCCTGAGAATAATCATGACAGAAATTTTCTAAAATCCTAAGAGGATGTATTCACAGGATGAAGTATGCCTTTCCTTCAGTTCACTTTTTTTAGCCTTCCAAACACAGTGAGTATTTTGAAGGAGTCCTATTTAAAAAATGAAAAGGAAAACAAAACAAAATTGTCACAGCATTTTGGAGAGGAGACAATGAGAAAATAGAAGTTTTCTCATTTCTGTTCACAGCAGCTTTAAAACAAAAAGTTATAAGGGGCCAAGATGCAGCAGGAACCAACAGCATGTTCAACTGTTAGAAGCAAAGAGTCTGCTAAGAATACAGAAGGGAAAGCTGAAATAGAGAATCCCATGGACATATCCCAGCTAAGTCTGGTATTACCAGAATGAGCCATGAAAGCAACTGAACAGAGGAAGAAGTCATTTTCCCTAATGTTTCTCTTAACTTGCACCAGAACAATTTATTCAGAAAGTCAATAACATTTTATAAAGTATTTTTCTGGAATTTAGTGGTAGGAAGACTGAATACGTAAAGTATTAACACAAATTATTTCCCAAGTTTAAAGTCAAGTAAAGAACCTCAAAACACTGTTGAACTGAACAACTTCAGAAACAAATGTAAAATTGCTCTGTGATTATACGACAATAAGTATCTTGGACCACTTTTAATTGGATTGGACTTTTACTTAAATTAGACTATTACAATTTCCCTGTTACGAAAAACTTAGTTTGTCCATGGCTTAATAACAACTAAGATAAGAAAAAAAAAAAAGACTGACAAAAAAAAAGTACTGATTGACTTTCAGTTCAAAAACAATACCTACAGATCATTCTTGAACACAATTTATCCACACAATTCTCCTTCCCTTTTCTTTCCTTGCAGCTTGTCCCATTCTTGAGTAAATTTATTACCTTCCTCCTATAATAACAGCGCCACCGAAGAACTAGATGATATTTACTGCCAACATATTGTTCATTCTTCTTGTGTGTTCTGCTGTTTCTCACACAATCTTCGTGCTGCCCACTCAGAAACTAAGCTCTTTCAGATGGGAACAGACCGCTGTGTCTGTAAGATGCTTAGCATGAAGGCATTTTTGATCACCCTTAGACACTTCTATATTTAGTATGGTGAGAAAAGAGGTCACACTCTGAAGGGCCACTGGAGAATGAACTAGCTTTGGTCAAAGGAATTTTTTTTTTTTTTTAAGCAAACTTGCTTAAAGTTTTCCTGAGTGTCACAGAAATTTTACTTTCTCTGGGAAGCAATCTGTGAAAGGTTTCTGCTACCCTCCTTTGTTTAGTAACTGCTAAGGTTGTCTCACATAATATAGATTTTTTTTTTTTTTGGTACAGTAACACAATGGCCCATTGTTTTTTTATTCCTAAGCTGGTTTTTATAAACAAAGGTCTGAAATCCTGGGAAGGTTCTATCACCTTAGACTGGCAGATATGAGAACCGTATGTTCAGTGGCAGCTTCAAGTACACAGACCTGACATTTCTGTAGTTTTTAAAGACTCAAATATCTCAGCTTGCCAAATGAACAACTCCTGTTCTTGGTTTCAGTTTCAGCTACAAGGAAGAGGATTGTCACTGCTGAAAGGTGCAGGACAGAATGCTCTACGCTATCTTTCTAGAAAGCCTAAACCAAGAAGTTTATATCTTCTTTTAAACGAAGAATACCTTAGCAGTTGTGGTAAAGGAGAAAAATGAGCCTAAAGGGCTTTTTTCAGCCTACCTAAAATTTCCCCAAATTAGGTATACCCAGTCCAATTAATTTTCTGCACAGAAGCTGAATGTTTAAGAGCAACCTAATAATTCCTTTTCTCTATGGACAACGTTTTTTTTCCAGAAGCTAGGTATTGTTACACTGCAAGTGTCAAGATAATCCATTTGTATATTGAAGCCATATTCACATCTTCAGAAAATCCCCTATTTCCCATAAGGTTTTAAAAATGCACCTATAATGTAAATTGGATAGAAAAAAGCCTGACATTTAAAAGTATTGAGCACTCTTCATTCCAAGTCAATCATGTCTCAAAATCTGGGTGAAGGAGAATTTATCTAACAGTAGATTAAACCAAAACAACTTGAGAGACTAAGGAAATGTGAAGAAAAGCACATATAATGTAACTATTGCATCTGTTTGATCATACTTGAGTTTTCTGAGATTAAAAGTATTGAATTAGGTTGCTGCTTCTGTTAGCATTTGTATGTATCTAAGAACTCCCAGTTGTGCCAGTGGGAGCAATAAAAGGGAGGAGAAACACAGAAAATGTCTGAAATGTCAAAAGATTTTTTGAGGAGATGTTTTGACAAAGCAGCTACTTAAAAATTACACAACATAAGAAAAAGACTTTTCACCCCAAATTAAGTCCTAACTCAAAATAGCTGGTTTTGTTAATTCTAAATAGGTCACATCCCTTCGCATTATGCTGCACCTCTTCATTTCTTCTGTTGAATAAGACTTTCTAACAAATGATAAATAAAATAGCAGCAAAAAACGTAATATGTTGGTCTAAAATCCAACAGTAATCTGCTCAGATTGGAGCAGATGCATTTTGCACAAACATTATTTAAACATTTGGACAAAAATAATGGCATAGAAGGTAGAAGATAAAGTGACAACCCAGACTGTCATCTCCCAGCTGACATACTCAGGAATTCTAATAATAAAGATGTTCTGTGTAGTTGACCATGAAACTCACAGACTGATGCTACCAAAACTAGAGGGCCCAGACATCGCTGGGAAAGCAAATATCCAGATAATTTACAGATTATGACTATATACATTGTTAATATATGGCTAATGATAGCCTAAGGACATTTAAAAACATATCATGTCTTCATGTTCTGAACAGGTTTTGGATGGCCTGCAGAAAGATAAAGGAGAACCATTAGGTTCTTGACACCAAACCAAAGCAAATCCAATCCAGCAGAAATATTGAACGGGACTAGTTAGAAAGTTTTGCAGATCAAAACCATGCATCTTTTGGAACATAAATATCAAAGATCAGTGAGAAAAAAAATTTCAGACAGACTGAAAATACACAGAAATTTGGAAATTTGAAGAGTAAGGACACTAAAAACTGACCTGCACATTAGACTGTGAAGGTACCAGTGTCTTAGAAAGGCAGTAACAGTCCACAGGGGAGAAGGAAAGGCTCCAACTGCCTAGTTTTGCACAAATCACCAAGACACCTCCATTAGGATGCTTTCCTACCCGTTTCCTTTACAGTCAATTGACATTGACACAGGAAGAGACTGCAGCCTGAATTGTCGTCTAGAGGCATCTCTTTCTCTAGTGCCTGCAAGCGGGACTTTGACAGGCTGGGATCTTAGATTTGGGGACACATTCAGGAGTTTGGGTTTGAACACAATGAATGACAGCCTACTGCTTGCCTGTTGCTTTTCACTAGGGATGGCAACTACTGGCATGAGACCCCTGGTAGCAAAAACAAAGTAACGTCATAGACTGTCTCCTTATTTTAAGTTTATGAATTAGAACTGTATTTTACTGATCATGGATGCCTGAAAAAGATAAAATATTCTTGGTTTGGACGAAATATAAATAAAAATACTGATTCAACAAACTTTGTAATCATATGGAATTGTTGGACTATATTAAATATACTTCTATTCAAAGAAAAAAGGATGCAATCCTTAAAACTACAGCATGGAACTTTATTTTAGTAGCCTGGCATAGTCTGAATTGTTATTAAGCTAGAAGACACTGTCTTTAAATGTAAACTTAAAAGTAAAAAGATACACTTGAAGGTACAAAGCAAAAATAAATATGATATTACAGAAGCAAAGAGAAAACCTGTTCAGGCATAAATTGCATCTTGAAGAGTTCTTGGTAAACAATTTCCATTGTCACAAAAGATCTTGCAGTCTCACACTGAGACTGCTGTTAACATTTTAAAATGTTAGTCCTCCACAGCACTTAGTGTTTAGCCCAGTGTTGCTTAGTATTTTCATTGAAGATGAAAGGGCATAATGAGAAGGGCATAGTAAGATACAATACTAGAAGGAAAAGCCAGGCAATTTTTAACTCGGAATAAAGCACAATCGTTGAAACAAATAGTTGATGGGTTTCTAGAAGCAATGCTTAAATCAAAGAGGTCAGTACAGAAGCAACAGATGGCATAATTGTTGGTCTGGTCTTAAAATTCAGGAGTTCATAAATATAGGTCTATCCTACTGGAAGATCATGTATAAATGCACACAGATTAAGAATGTGTCTTAACTCTTCTAATAAAATTCAGCGGGATTTAAACATGTTTTATCATGATTTGTATAAGGCTGTTTTCCTGAACTGAACAAAAAAGAACAGTATCTGATACAGGAGATACGTTGGTTGCTAACTGAGAACCAGTTAAGAAAAATCTTCTTCCTAAACCAGTTTACACTTATGAGGATGACTTGCATCTTGTCTGAAT